TACACCATGCTCCCCCTGCTATTACTACTGCTACTACTTACGACTACGACTACTACTACTACTACTACTACTTCTACTAGTACTACTACTACTACTACTACTACTACTACTACTACTACTCCTGCTACTACTACTAGTGCTACTACTACTACTACTACTACTACTACTACTACTGCTACTACTACTACTACTACTACTACTACTGCTACTGCTAATGCTACTGCTACTGCTACTGCTACTGCTACTACAACTTGCTACTGCTACTACTACTTGCTACTGCTACTACCGTTGCGACTCCGACTGCGACTACGACTACGATGACGACGAATCAAGATGACTCCGCTGCATGAAGACCACGAAGATCCAAGCCCGAAAGCCAAAGCTCTAGGCCGTAAACCCTAATCCCCAAACCCTAAGCCCTGAACCCTGAAACCCCAAAACCCCAAAACCCCAAAACCCCAAAACCCCAAACCCCTAAACCCCGAAACCCTGAACTTGAACCCAAATCCCTGAACCCTGAACCCCCAAAACCCCAAAACCCTAAACCCTAAACCCCTAAACCCTAAACCCTAAACCCTAAACCCCAAAACCCCTAAACCCGAAACCCTAAACCCCAACACGACGAGTGAAACCGGAAAGGCCAAGTCGCCGGCGACCCGTAAGTTCAAGTACCTCGGCTCTGGTTCGAAGCTCTTTTGGGATGTATGATGGGGTAGGGTTTAGGGTTTAGGGTTTAGGGTTTAGGGTTTAGGGTTTAGGGTTTAGGGTTTAGTGTATGATGGGTTCATAGGGATGCATAGTGAAGAATATGAATTCCGTCTTGTAGTATCTCGAACTGGGTTCCTGAACAAGGACCCAGGTACGAGGAGCAGTGGTGCCCCTCTTGCACCAATGAATAGACGGGAGATGGCATAGGCACCAGAGGAGTAGCAGTTGCACCTTTCTCCACCTGACACGCTGAATAAAGCCACGAGAAGCCCACAGGCTATGGGCTTTCAGGCTTTGGATTTCTGGTGTCAATATTACAAGGCGTGGGCATCTAGACATGTTTACTGTGTCAGGGTTCTGGTTGCTTTTCAAAGTTGTCCACTCTTGCATGAACTTGAAACCATAAACCCTTAGCTCAAACGCAAGGGCTTCTGAAGACGAGCTCGACGGTGCCTTGAGGGTTTGGGGTTTAGGGCTGCGAAGGAAACAAAAGCGTGGCACGCGACCTTACGAACATCCGGTGGCCCGTGTTCCTTCTTCTTCCGGGAGTAGCGCTGTGGCTCTCATAACGCATGCAGGCATAGGTTTGCGGGCTCAGGGCTCAGGGTGTAAGCTGGGCATTGGTTGGGGTTTCGGACCGTAGCGTACACTTCTGTACATGCCAAGCCATACAAAGAAGGTCAAGCCACCCAATTCTCAAACCCCAAACCCCTAAACGCGTCGATGATGATAATGATGATGATGATGGTGGTAGTGATGGTGGTGATGGTGATGGTGATGGTGATGGTGATGGTGATGGTGATGGTGATGGTGATGGTGATGGTGATGGTGATGGTGATGGTGATGGCGATGGCGATGGCGATGGCGACGGCGATAGCGATGGAAATGGTGATGACGACGATGACGACCATGATGGTTATGTTGACGATGATGGTGATGATGCTGATGATGACGATGGCGATGGCAATGGCGATGGCGATGGCGATGGCGAGGGCGAGGGCGAGGGCGATGGCGATGGCGATGATAATGATGATGATGATGATGATGATGAAGACGATGATGATGATGACTAGGACGACAACGACGCCAGTCATGATAATAGTATCGAAGAGAATGATGTTAGTGTCGGCCGTATTGCCGACAGTAAAGACGCTTCGGTTGCCTGAACCAGCATACTCAAACGTTCATGATCTTCGTGACCAATGCATTCAGCTATGACCGAATCCATGATTTACTGGACTCGTGAGTAGGACATCAAAACAACACACCTACTTAAAAGGCTTTTTCAGGGTTGCGGCGATCCTTCTGGAGCTTGGCTTGTCTCTAAACCTGGCCTGCAAATATTACGACGGGAAGCACAAAGCAGAAAAAGGGTCGGCCGAGCCACCACATAGATGGTCCAGAGGACATTGGAAGTTTGAGCGTCGCAGGTATCTATGGCACAGCCACAGTCTCCGTTGGTCGCCCTGTAGTGAAAGTACTCGGACTTGCAGCCATACTCCGTGCCTGCGAACTCAACTTGCTCGAAAAGGCTTACGACCTGTTGCCACTGCGGTTTGCAATGTATATCTTACCAGCCTCGCTGTCATGCTCCTAATTAGGCGGGCTGTAGACATTGCAAAATGTGTTTGTATGTGTATAAATATACACATCTGCATATACCGTATGCACATACCCATGCATACATAGATACATAGATACATAGACATAGACACATAGATACATGGTTACATAGATACATACATACATACGTACATACATACATACATACATACATACACAGGCACTACACTACGCGCACACACACACACGCTTATCTTAACGTTACAGTCCAATGACTGCTACAAAACACTGCGAGCTTGAAAGGCCACTCTGGCCGCTCTGGCTTCAGCTACTACTTACACTCCTACTACTCCTACCTACTGCTACTATGACTGCCATGCTTACTATCCGGCCACTCTCAATATTCTCGACCTTTATAATTGCATTGACACTCATCCTTATGCTGACGCAAAAGCACTGCTCTCACCACCATTGTTTCTGACATCTCCCTGATGCTTTCATTGCTGCTAAATTACCTCTGCATGAGCATATTGCAAGTCTGGAGTCTAGTGGAGTCTAGGGTTGATGTATGGGTCTGAATAAATGGGAAGATCCTTCCCTAAGGTTTCCAACTCTTTCTAGTATGAAAGAGCCACGAAACCCTAGTCTTACTACTCAGGCCACTTTAGCAGCGGGTCTCCAACCATCTTTATGCTACGTGGGTGCTTGGGTCTCCTTTAGCTTAAACTGCCTCATCGATCAAGGGGCATGGTAAGGTGTAAGCAGGTTTTACAATTACGATCTAAGGTACTTCAATCTACGTACTCAATCCTGTCATCCTTGACTGCACACTAAGAAAGAAAAAAACGCTTATGGAGCACTGTAAAAACCATGTAAACCCTCAGAAAACCCTTAAAAAAGGGTTTAGAGTTTAGGGTTTAGGGTTTGGGAAGACGACAAAACCTCCAAGCCCGGAACGATCCTCGGCTGGCCACCAGCAGCAAGCATGCCTGCAAGAACACACAAGCCCCGAGAAGGAAGCATCAGTCGAAACACCCCGGTGTCCTAAACCCAAAAACCCGAAACCCTACATCCTAAGCCCTGAATCCTAAACCCTAAACCCTAAACTCCCTAAATCCTAAACCCCAAACCCTAAATCCTAAGCCCTGAACCCTAAATCCTAAACCCTGAACCCGAAATCCGAGACCCTGAACCCTGAACCCTAAAGGGTCTAGGTGCTCATGACCGGATGCTCGGTCATTTCTTGGGGTCGCCTCAACCCTAAGTGCAAACTTCAGCTCTGCCCCTACACACTTAATGCGGCTTAGGGGTTTTTAGAGCTTCGGGTTTAGGGCTGCATAATGGAACCCCGAAAACTCTTTTCCTCTTTACGAAAACACCCTCTCAGACCCCAAGACTTGAAGAATCCAGGCGGGATCCTCAAGCAAAATCCTGCTCCCGGACCATGAGAACCAAGGTCCCCCAAAACATGAGCCCCAAGAACGGCAGGACTTCCTTGAAAAACCGATGGTGAACTGTAACACTCCCTGAACCCTGAACCCCAAATCAAAAAAAAACTCTTATAGCTTCTGAAACCCTAAACCCTACAAAAAAACTCTTATAGCTACTGAAACTGATCTCCTTCATGCACGGCCCAGCAGACAACCCCTTTTCGGCTCTGACGCTGTTCCAAAGCTCCAAAAAGCCCTTTGAGGCTCAGGAATCAGGGTTCCGGGTGTAGGACACCAGCTTCTGCTATTTGGATATAAGCCCCATACTCTGGGTTCTTGTTAAGGGATTTAATTTAAGTTACCATAATAGGGATCTATAGTAAATAATATGGTTTCCTTATTATGGTAACTTAAATTAAATCCCTTAACAAGAACCCAGTACTTGAATGAGTCCCGAAGCCCAAACTATGGCAGGCTTAGGTTTTAGTTGAGGGTTTAGGGGTTTAGGGGTTTAGGGTTTAGGGTTTAGGGCTTACGGCTTAGGTTTGAGTGTCTAGGGTTTCAGAACCAGAATTTAAGGTTGAAGGGGCTCTAGGGGTTCTACGACCTCAGAACTTCCCAGACCTTCCAATATCCCTTAATGAAGGAATAGGAATATAGTCTAGCAGGACCCCTTATGTGATTTAAGGTATGTTCTTCCAATATCCTTTAATTTTCAATATATATATATATATATATAATGATAATAATAAGAAGAAGAAGAACAATAACAATAACAATAATAATAATAATAGGACCCCTTAGGTGATTTAAGGTCTGTTCCTGAAACGGAGGATTTTGGGAAGGTTTGAGGTTTATGACCCGTGAACCCCGAGGCCTTTCCCACGCTGGTCGAGGATGAGAGACACTCTTATGTCTTAGGGCTAAGGGTTTAGGGTTTCGGAATTAGGGTTTAGTCCCCAAACCCCTAAACCTTAAGCCCCAAACCCGTAAACCCTGAACCTGCAACCCTTAAACCCGAGACCCTTAGGGAAGTCAGCTCTGGGTTGACATTCAGAAATTCACTCGCAAAATGAGCGGTTTTCAAGTCACGTCTACTGCTTGGGGTCCATGTGCAGGGCTCCTTCCTTTTGGCGGATTTGGGTTTAGGGTTTAGGGTTTAGGGTTTAGGGTTTAGGGTTTAGGGTTTAGGGTTTAGGGTTTAGGGTTTAGGGCTCAGGGCAGGCAAATACACCCCGAATCCTGAAGCGCAGGATCTTTGAAACCCACAACCACCAAGAGAAAACCGCAAGCCTGGGTGTGTTGAACCCCCTTAAAAGAGCTCTTAGGGTTTAGGGTTTAGGGTTTAGGGTTTAGGGTTCTTCTCTACGTTGCTCCAAGAGCCATGCCTTTAAGGTCCCGCGGGTCCAGCGGCCGGCCACCGCGCGCAAGTTCAAGTGGTTGGAGCAATGCTTGCCTTCCTCGACAAGGGGCTTCAACTTTGGCCCTAAACCCTAAACCCTAAACCCTAAACCCTAAACCCTAAACCCTAAACCCTGGGGCTCTTCCGCAAAGAAGGGCTTGGGGTTTAGGGGCTTTGGGTTTTGGCTTTAGGGTTTGGGGTGTAGGGTTTAGGGTTTAGGGTTTAGGGTTGAGGGTTTTGGGCTTTGGGTTTGGGGTTTTGGGTTGAGGGTAAGTTTTGTAGGGATTCGGGGCTTAGGAGTGTAGTGCCCCAAACACCAAGTACTACCCAAACCCCCGCCCCCCCCGTGATTTACGGCTTTGTGCCTTGGCTTGACCGCAGCCCTCCCTAAACCCTAAACCCTAAACCCTAAACCCTAAACCCTAAACCCTAAACCCTAAACCCTAAACCCTAAACCCTAACCCGGCAAACACCCTCCCAGCCCTTCAGTGCTGAGGGTTTGGTTTACTGCTTAGGGTGGGTGTTGGCCTTGCGATTCAGGGTTTAGGATTTAAGGCTTGGGGACGGGTTTAGGGTTTAGGGCTTCGGGCATAGGGGTTGTGGTTCCTGGTTTCGGGGTTCAGTGTTCCAAACTCTGGGTTGGTCTTGGGGGGAGTTGGAACCTGATGACGAAGAGCTTCCCGGAGCCCCCAACTCTATGAACCCTGCTTCTGCAGGCCCTGTAACCTAACTTAGAGGACCATAGAACTTAGTAGCTAGGCATCGGTAAGTATAGTTCTAAGTGCTTCTAACTCCATTGTACTTATAGCCCTCTTTAGTACCTGTAGGTCCCATGATCCTCCAAGTAACCTCCTAAAACTCAGGAAGCCCTGGGTCGAAGATCATGAAGCAGCGATGGGATAAATCGCCCAACCATGGTACGGCACCCTCATTTAGATAACTACCTATATCTCAAGCTCGTAAACCCTGAACCCCAAAGCAAGCACACTGACGCTGAAGCCGAGCAGCCTGCATCTTGCGGAATCCCACAGGTGCAGCTGTTTGCGACACGAGGTATATGCTCCAGGCTGAATCGGTTTGCCTGGTGATGCAATCGTCCCGGGCACAATGGCAGCCGCCGCCAGGGTGGTCCCGAAACCTGATCTCGCCAGGGACCCGCAAAGGGTTCATGGGCTTAATAGTTAGCACAGGGTGTTGGGGGTACATTCTAGTAGACGCAGGAAGTATATAAGAAGGAACACTAAAGAATGATGTCATTCAATTCAAGCTTGTGAAGCAAGCCTGAAACAGTATTGAGGGTCCAAGGATGGTTGAAGACACGTTGCTAACCTGAGGGCTTTGGAGGCCTCTGAGATCTCAAGGAACTCCAAGCAGTATCTGCACACCCCCGAACCCCCTCGCCTTCTCTCTACCCTTACGATTTACAGGTGGTCCTCGCAAAGGCTACCCTAAACTGTAAACGCTAAACCCTAAAACCCTAAAACCCTAAACCACCCTAAGCCCCGGGGGTTCTTGGCGGGTTTTCACGGGAGCCGACAGACGACGCAAGCAGATGCAGGGAAGGTGGTCAGGAAGCCGCACAGAGGGTCGAGCGTTGAGGGTTTAGGGCACGGAGTCCGGAGAGCCCTGGGGCAAGCTTAGGTTACGGTTTAGGGTTTAGGGTTTAGGGTTTAGGGTTTAGGGTTTAGGGTTTAGGGTTTAGGGTTAGGTTCGAGCCTTCAGTCAATCCCCAAACCCTGGAGACTAAAGAAGCCCTCAAAACTCCAGATTCCAAACCCCATAACCCAACAAACTTCCAAACCCCAACTATGCTTCCCAAACCCGAAACCCTATAACCCCCAAGCTTTTAAACCCTAAACTTCCTAAACCCTCCACACCCGAAGAATCGCAATGGGGCCAGCAGCTTCAAACTTCGAACCCTTCGAATCGAAAATGAGTCCACGAGAAAGCACGGTGCTTCGAGGCCTGGGACTACAGGTGCTTGGAGGCCTGGAACAAGGGTTGGGGCACCGTAAGCAGAGTGCTTGGAGGCCTGAGACTAAGGCTTACGGCTTGGGATTCGCGGTTTAGGGTTTACGCTTTGGGGTTTAGGGTTTACGGTTTGGGGCTTGAGGTTTGAGGTTTGAGGTTTAGGGTTTGGCGTTTAGGGTTTGGGGCTGAGCTTCGGGCCATGTTGAGGATCGTCCGACATATGCAGAGTAGCTGGAAGTACCCGCTTGAAGCACAGAGTCCACCCGTGATACCAGGGCCGGCGACGGCACGTGCACATTCTTCCAGCGTCCCTGCCAAAGGCAGACTACAACCCGTACTATCGCGGCCTGAACCCTTATAAAAGCAGAAAGGGACGCTGCGGGGCTCCGTTTTTTTCACTTATGCAGTTTTGTGTGTGTTTACTTACATCTGTAGTTTTGTATGTGTTTTAGTTACATCTGTTCACATTATTTTTGATCTTATCCAGGTATAGAAATTTTATACCCAAAAAAGAGAAAGC